GCCACAGGCTGTTTCCCCAGGAAAGTCATGGAGCCCTGCTTATCAAATCAGTTCTGCTGACTTCATTAGCATTGCCGCTATATAATATCACCGTGGCCCTATTGCAAAAACCCTTATCAGCCCACGCAGCCTACTTGAGTCCCAGCCCAGAGCCAAAGAAACCAGGGCCTGCAAAAACAGCCCGGATTGGTGTTGGGAAAGCCAGCACTTGCTGCAGAGCGTGAGGGCGTGGTTTCCATTGCCAGAATCCCTCCATTGTTAAAAGCCCACCTCCACTTCCGTAGGGTTCAGGGGTAGGGAAGAGTCAGCTGCCTCTCTTTACATCCCTCCCTGAGACAGAGCTACTCAACATGTTGTCTCAAAGCAAAGCGAGACCAAGAGGAATTTTTCAAATGTTGTTTTCTTCTTGCGTGGTTATGCAATGTTAGCGAGCACATGGGGCATGCTAGGGGGACTTTGTGGCCATCGTGGGCCTGTCCCTGCCTGGAAAACACCATCAGCGCTCACGCTAGAAAGTCTCTCTCTCGTCTTTGCCATTGCCACCCCACTCACTGCAATCCAAACCCTACTCCGTGTCCAGCGGAGAGATTTACACTCATCCTTGTCCTAGTAATAAGAACCAGGCTGCATTCCTTGCTTTTTTTCTTTCCTTTTCTTTTTTTAACAGCCTTGTTAGGGTTATAAATCTTGTGAAAAGCTGTGAGGATGTCCAGCGTGACGTGGAGGGATGACTCTTCCTTTCTGTGAAGACTATATCAAGCCATTCCCCCAGAGAGCCTGCAATCCTAGAGGAAATCATAACAGAGCTACTGCATTCTACCAAAATTTGCCCAGCAAGGGAGGCAAAGTAATTCTCAACTGCTCCCACCTTTGTCACAAGTGGCGTGTACACACGTACTAACTTTCTGACAGTTAAGCCAACTTTACTTTTTTAAGTCAACTTAACTGTCAGAGCGTACATATGCAAGTGGAACAGAGCTGACTTCAATGCAACACAAGATAATATACCTCAGAGGTGTATTATCTTGTGTCGTATTAGTTAAGTCAATTTAGTTCATAAGGTGGCTGCCACCATGTGAAGGAGCTGTATGTGTGTACGCTCCAATGTGGCTTAACTTAAGGCGACTTAGTTAAGTCACTTTATTTTAAGTTGACTTAGTACATGGGTATGCACCCAAGGAAGCAATAGGGAATCAGGCAATGCTGTCACAGAGGCCTGTGCTGATGCGTATTTTGCTCCCATTGTACTACAGGCTTCAGTGACTGGATGAAAGTTTTGTCCACTGCCCTCCACCATGGGTGTAATTCTGTAAGACAGGCTCTGAGGGGCCTGAGAGTCCCCAGCTAGCAGCATCAAGGGTGTTTGTACCCCTATCTATACACCAGCTCCACTCAGTGACCTGAGGGCCTCCAAAGCCAGAGGGGCCTGGTCCTATAAAGTGCTTAGCACGTTTTATTTGGGGGCTGAGAAACCTCAGTTCCCTCCTCCTACCAAACTGAGGGCTGAAGGTGATGAGGGAAAAGCTTTTAGGGAAAAAGTCTTGTGGAACTGAACAGAAACACCATGAGATTGCCTAGAGAGAAGTGTAGACATACAGAATTTAATACAGAGCTAGATGTTTTCTTGTGCTGCTTGGACCTGAGCTGCTGGCTGAGCTCTCCTAGAAGGATTTTGTCACCAGAAGAGAATTTTCTCTTTAACGTATAGGGTGATCCCACAAAACCCCCATGGGCAAGTTTCCATTGTGTGTGTAACTCTATGGGGTTTTTCCACAACGCGAGTATAGCCTGAGTCAAGAGGCAACAGGCAGGGGGAGAAGCTGATGAGACAGGCCAGCCCCCTCTATGTTGCATGGACCCAGCTCCAAAGCAGTGATGGGAAGAGCCAGGGCTAGAAGGTCCCAATGTCGCACTGTCCGGTCCAAAACCTGCTGAGTGAATGGGAGTCTTTCCACTAATTTCCAGTGCGGGGACAGGCTGTGGGCTCAGGACCACATCACAGAACAGCTAATGCAAGGAAACACCACCCCCCTGCCGCCCCCCAATAACAGGACAAAGCTTGGGGACTTACCTGTCTTAAAACATAGACATAAACCTTCCCCCTCTCCCAGTTTTCGCTGAAGTACATGGGAGCTCCCACCAACAAGATATCGGTGACGCCATCACCGTCGATGTCAACGGAATTTATCTCACTTCCATAGTAGGAGCCGATCTGCAAAAAAAGGGTAGGGAAAAAGCGATCGGAAAGTAAATAAGGGTACGGCCCGACTTCTCCACCTCCTTCTACTCCTGAAGCGATTGAACACAGCAGGGTCAAACACACCCAGGGCAAGCAGGATTTTCAGTCTGCTGGAAGCAGGCATTTGGACGCAGCGTCTAGACAGATGTCCAGGAAAGAAACAGTAATGCTAGAAGATTAACGATCAAACCCAGTCCCTTTCTCTGGTCTTGCTGCATCCGCTTGGTGTTATATTTTCATGTGGAGCTGGGCTCTGAAGGACAGCTAGTCCAAGTGTGTTTGTGTGTGTACATATATATATTTATTTATACACACATACACACTGTATTTCATGGCGTATAGATTGACATGGTGCATAGGTCAACCCTCAGCTTTCTGATCTGAAAGGTAAGTATTTTCACAGGCATGGTCTACAAGCTGTACCCATGCTGCTCGCAGGGGATGGGGCCAGACTCACTGAGCACCAAGCCTGGCCCCATCCCTGTCCCCGACCCCTGTGAGCGGTGCTGGGCTTGGTGCCACTCACAGGGGATAGGGCCAGGGCCAAGCCAGGCACTCAGTTGGCATGGTCCCATCCCCTGCGAGCGGAGCTGGCATGGTGTATAAGTCAAGTTTGATTTTTAAGACACAAAAATTGGGCTTCAAAACCCAATCTATACATTGTGAAATATGGTATCTATCTATCTATCTATCATATATGGACATTTAACCCAAAAGGCTTCTTGAGAGCCTGTGGATCTGTGATCCACCTGCTAGGCAGCACTCTCTCGCTGGGGCAATCTCACATGCAACTGACTCCCACAGTCGTTGCTCAGACAGGTTTGAAAGGGTCGATCTGAGGGATACCATAGATCTCAGTCACGATTCTGGCGCCAGCCCTACCCGCACACGGGGAAAGCTCAGATCTGGAGATGAAAGCTATGGCTCCTTCACCGCCAGGGACCCCAGGAAACCTCCGGGCCTCCCTACAGGGGTGTTCATAACACTGCTGCTTTCTGCCCAGCTGCCAGAGACTGTCCTGTCTTCTCATATTCCTTGGGGACAGTTCTTATGTGTAATTATGTGTAGTTAGCCAACCTGATCAGAAGGTGCCAGAGAATTTTTCTGCTTCGGGGCAAAATTTGCACAGGGTGAAATTCACCCTTTGTCAGTGAGCTGTTGCTTACACAGACTTATGCCTCCCCGATTTAGTTAGTCTATCAGGTGCAACTCTGTCCTGCCTTCTGCCTGACTTCAGATTAACACAGGTAACTGCGCTGTGCTGGAAAGAGAAAGCCAAGGGCACTGGGGGGAGAAAGCCCACACTTCTCTCTTCACAACCGCAGCAGGGGAAATGGCGGTACTAAAAGTGCTCATTGAAATATCCCAGTCCTGTGGGTCAAGTGTGGTGGGGTGAAATCCTGATCATAAGCTTCAGAAACATAGGATCATTGGCAAGCCAGGCTGGAAGGGACCTCACAAGGTCATCTAGTCCAGCCGCTGCTCAACGCAGGATCATCCTGACCATCCCAGACAAGTGTCTACCCAACTGGCTCTTGCAAATGTCCAGGGATGGAGATTGCACAGCTTCTCTAGGTGCCCGTTCCCATGCTTGAGCACCCTCAGAGCCAGAAAGTTCCTCCTCTTCTCCAACCTGTTTCCCCTGAGGCAGCTTGAAGACATTGCTCCTAGTCCTCCCCTCTGACCACAGAAAAAAACCCCATCTCCATCCTCTCTGTAATCACCCTTTGGGTTGCTGAAGACTGTTATCAAATCCCCTCTGTCTTCTCTTCTCCAGACTAAATAACCCTAGGTCTTTCAGCGTTCCCCTTAAGTCTTGTTTTACCCTTACAGAGTAAAATGCCGCCCCAAACCCTTTGGAGCAGATCCACAGCTGATGTACATGGAAGTCATTGCAATGAAGCCAATGGATCTCTGCTAATTTATGTCAGATAAAGGCACTGCCTTATGTCCTTCAGGTCCGTTGGATGAGAAACCTGACAGGGCTCAATGCGACTAGTGACAACAGCCACATATTATAGTGCATTTTGTCTTGCAGAATTGAAGCTTTGGAGATCTTTCAATATAGGTTTTACCTGCTCTCCTTTCAGGGACTGGTGAATAGTTAGGTTTCTGTTGTTGTGCATGGTGAAAATAATGACTTTCCCAGTGTGGTTGAATCTGGGGGCTCCTGCTACATAAATCCGGTCATGCGTCGGCGAAAGCACAGAGGTGACGGTGTAACCTGGGACAGGGAAAGAAAGTCAACACAAACCTGGAATCGACCTACAAATAGCAGCAAAGCTGGAGTGTCAGGCACCAGCCAAGTACACATAACAAATGACACAGATTAATCTGGATTCCAGAAAGCTGCTGAATCAATTGAACGTTGTGTTTTCTAGCTGGAAAAATAAGTGTCCTGATTAAGTTCTTTACTTGGCTCTGGCTAGACAGATGGAATCAATGCTTATCATATCACTGCCCGCTCCTCTCTTTGAAACGTTTCCTTTATTGCAGCGCTGTTGACCGGCAGTCTGCGTTTGATTAGCTGCAGGCTGCTAACACAGCCCTGGCTGCTTCCCAGATCAGCAAACTGGAAACCGCGATTTCTCAAAAGATAAAGTCATTCAAGCATATTTGACTACTCTTAACACTGCGCTTTGAAGTGCCTCTGCATTTGCTGCTTGGGTTTTAATCCCAGCCCTTGACAATTGAGATTAGTGCTAAAACTATGCAAGGCTTAGAGGCTGCCGGCAAACCCAAGGCAGAAGAACACGGCAGTAGAAGCAAGTCCATTTCAGCTCCTGATAATCATGGGTGCGTATGCGCGTACTAACTTTCTGACAGTTAAGCTGACTTAACTTTTTAAAGTTGACTTAACTCTCACAGTGTACATACATATGTGGAACAAAGTTGCATTAAGCGCAGTGCACGATAACACATCTCTGAGGTGTATTATCTTGTGTTGCATTAGTTAAGTCAACTTAACACACAAGATGTTAAGGAGCTGTATGTGTGTATGCTCCAACGTGACTTAATTTAAGTTGACTTCGTTAAGTCACTTTATTTTAAGCCAACTTAGTACACATGTACACCCCCAAAGTTACTTTATGGAAAATTATACAAACCATGACCCTACCTTTGTACAGAGCACAATGCACTATTCCCCACAGCTGACTAGCAAACACCAGCTCTGAAAAGGTTTCACAACCCCAAAAACGTCTATGGATATTTGATATCAAAATTAGCGATAGTATAAAACTTGTAACTCTGTGGTGAACCTCAGTTCATGAACCCCATGATAAATATGCGAGCTCACACTTTATATTCAGCCTACGCAGAGTTTACAGATGATTAACAGGTGCTTTAATAAGTGGTTAATCAATTGCTACAGACCAACAGATTGGTAGAGTGTTTCTAACCATCTGTAACCCCTTCTGCTGATGGCTGTATAATAATCCATAACACATGTGGATCATTGCATACTTCCAGCATGTACTGACCATTTATTGACCTGCCCCCTATAAATCATTTGTAAATGTAACTTTGATGTAGAGTGACACCAAACCCTATAGTCTTGGATGGTTGGGTATCAAGACGCCCATTCAGCATGCCAAAACCCTTCTCCCAGCCTTACCCTGCTCTGGAAGGAGGCAGGCATTTTCGACTTGGTCTAAAGGAGGGACCGTAACACGCTCATTATGCCAATTGAAAGGTGGAAAGTGTCAGTGACACAGGGAAGGAGGCTGAAGACAGCCGAGCTGCTCTCTGCCTTATTAATCACTGTGTGTGTGCAGTGAGATTGCAGAGCCCCTGAGAAAGAGAGTTGGCCTTTATCACTGATAACCGTCTGGGAGGAATATTGAAGAGATCGACTCTTCCTCATTATGGAGAAGGGGAAAACATGGGAGCACATGGCAGGAAGGCTCTGCTGTGGGCATGGTGCATGGGGTGGAAGGCTCTGCTGTGGGCATGGTGCATGGGGTGCAGAACAGGATAGGATAATTGGGTTGAGAAATATGAACCATGCTAATTATGGGATAACCCTAGTCCCAGGGCTGGCTGTGGCCAGTTTGGCCAGAGCCGACCAGGAGTAACCAGCAACCAGTGAGCCCAGCCATTTACTCCCATGTTGGGCTGGGGATCACTGGTACCTTGACATGCTGAAAGGCAAACTGCAGAGGTCCAGTGGGCATCCTAGATGGCATTCAAAGGGGTTGAGTCTGCTAAGCTTTGATATCCTGTCCCAGGCTGGAGCTCCTGCAACAGACTATTCCGAATCTGCCCCCAAGGGCCTCTGCTGTATAGAAAACATCCCTGAAGCACCTGCTTTGGGGCCAGGGTGACACTGGTCTTCCTCTTGCATTCAGTAGAGGCTGAATCACATGGGGCACAGCCCTCAGCACTGATGGGACTACATGTCATAGAAGGTGATGGTGAAACCTCTGGGTTGCTTGAATTTAGCAAGACAGGTTGAAAGGAGGTGGCCACGGGCACCAGAGAAAGCCCTCGGATGGGTGTACAGGTGTGGAGATCACTGGCTGAGGATGGGTGTTCTTGGTCCAATTCAACCTTGGGGGCCAGGGGTTTCCAGCACCAAGTGGCAAAGAGGGAAGGGTATTTTTAAGCAAAGAGAAAGGACCTGGATTTTTTTTTTGTTTGCAAAACAGGATTCAAGCACAAATGAAAGAGGGTCAAGGCCTTGCTGTGCCACTGTCCCAGGTATTCTCATTGCATGGGCTAGTTCAAAGGGGCTCTCTCCCCACAAGCCTCAAGCAGGTCTGTTATCAACCACAGAGGGTCAAGAAGGCAGTAGCTGGATCAGCCTTGGGTTTAGGGGCTGGGATTGGGATGGAGACTGCATCCCCTGTTAGCTAGCAGAGCCTACGAGGCTCCCATTTACTGGTGAGTCTGGCTGGACCCTACTGTAGCTAGTGGTTCTGATGGGGCACATGCAGCCGTGTGCCTTAGACATGGCGTTTACTATTTCAGCTCTCTCTAAACAAAGGGGTCCTTCCTTTAGCACAAGGCAAAGGTGGCCCGTGAACCCATCAGCCTCAGTGAGGTTTGGGATGGCCCGTAGATCAGAGACCTGCTCACTGAATATCCCTTGCCCCCATGCTCCAGCCTGTGTCCAGCAAATATATTGGGCCAGACCCTGGACCCTGCTTGTTTACACTTGACATGGGCCAAGACATGTGTGCAGTGATAGCTCTAGACCCTGGAGTTGCTGAATCTGAGGAGGCTGGCTGCTCTATATTGCATGGGGTCTGCTCTAGCTGCTGGGAGTGAGATGCCTCAACATCCTTGGCCTGGTCCCACTATGACTTCCTCTGCCAGGAAGTTGTTCTACACTGCAGGACTCCCTATGAAGGGTCCCCAACAAGGCACAAGACTGTCACTGGTCCAGGACACAATACTGCCTATGCTGGGCCTGGGGCCAGTAGTTTTATTAGCACAAGGTATGGGAGGCTGCCTTTGCTAAAGAGCTCTGCTTTCCTCAGCTGTTTCAAATGAGGATATTGAAGAAGACAGCCATGTCACTGCACCCTGCAGTCTAGGTACGGCCACCGTGGACCTCTTCAAAGGTTGCTCCACCAGGAAACAGGCTCCGCTCACCCGCTCGTGCTCTGCACGCATCCAGCTGGGAATGAAGGCAACAGGGAAGAGGGGCCAGCAGCATGCTAAGGGCTTCATGTATTCAACAGCAGCGGCCCAGGAGTGACTTGGAGTGGCTCAGGAATGACTTATGCCAGGCACGTCTTATCCAGATCATTTTGGGACTGATGTGTGCAAAGCATGAGAGCGTAGGCAGGGCTTATCTCCCTGTGCCATGACTGAGAGCTTTGCCGCTGCAGTGTAGGCAGACCCTTGCCACCTCCGCTCCAGGCATGGCAGATATAACCACAGACAGATGAATGTGATCTTTGCTTGGTGCCTGTTAGCCTTTGGCTGTGCTTGGCTAACAGGCATATCCAGGGGCTGTAATTTTGAGAAATGCCTGGAGGTAGCAGAATTCAGGAACCAGGTAGGTTATAAGGTGCCTTTGACACTGATACTGGTTTTATGACACATTGGGTACAGCTACATGAGATGCTTTAAGGCACATTATCCTAAATTTAAAGTGCATTAGGGTGCACGTCTACACATGCATGCCCTTAATGTGGTTTAAAAATGGTGATTTGGGGCTAATCATGCCTAAAGTTGATACCTGAAAATGCAGGTATCAAATTTAGGTGAGAATAGTTAAAGCGCATTAACGCATGTGTAGACACATTAAATCGCATTCATGCTGTGTATGTGGACTGACTTGGGATTAACTTTAGTTCCAAGTCAGTCCACACAGCGTTAATACACATTAACACCTGTATGTGCAGATGCCTGCTTAAACCTGTTTAATGAGCATTAAGCTAATGTGCATTAAAACTTAGGTGTGCTTAAATGCACGTGCAGATACATACGCTCATTATAACCTGCCTGATTCTGAATTCTCCGCACTCGTGAAAGGTGAGAATGACCCTCCTCCGTTTCGATAGGCCTTGTCCTCCCAGTAATCAGCTTCTTGTTGTTTGTCTGCTACCCCTGGGAATTTCTTTCCCTGGTCTTAAGCTCCTTTTTACTACACTGTATTGGCTTTTGCTGCTCAGGCCTGCCGAAGAACGCCTTGCATTCAAAAGCTTGTCTAACTCTATCCCAACTATGCAGCTGTTCCAGTAAGAGAGATCACCCTAAGAACTGCTTGCCTTTTGCATAATTTCTGCACCATCACAGCTACAACACCACTCTTTAGTCATACCATTTCATCAGGATTTTTTAAATCCCCCTAGGATGGATTAGAGAGAGCCTGAGCCACATTTGAATAGCTCTCACATTTGGATGGTGTGCGCACTCCTGCAGACATTGGCTTTCCTCTGGATCCTTCCAAAGGCCCAGGCGTCAGTGGTGCTGAGTACACATATGATGGGTAGCATATCTCACACAGCCCTGCCTTACCCCATGCAACTGAGTACCTGCCATTGCATTTTACTTAAACTGATATTTCCATGAGCATTAACATCTGCTAGCAGCAAGCACAGGGCAGCGCTTGCCAAAAAACCCTGGCCAAGTCATGAATGTAGCTGTGGGTATAGAAGCCCTCCGTGCCATTTCCTTACCAAGGTAGGCGCCGTGATTTTTCAGCTCTTCGGGGAACTCTTGGAGATACGATTCCCGATGGGGAATAATTCTCCCGCTGCTGGTTTCCTTTAGCACTGCGCCGTTCCAGTCGTAGGCTCCCACGGCCCCCAGCAAAATCCCGTCCTGTGGGGAAAACAAAGCTCTCAGAGCATCTTGCAATGTAACCGTTGGGACCCAACACTTTGCAGTCCCAGCAAGCCTCGTGGGCGGATGGAAAGCCAATAGCACAGAAAGGGGCATTGCCACGAAGCAGGACATCCTGGGCTGGCTGTTGTAGCCCCCCAGTGCAGATACATGTGCATCACTGCACACACAAGTGCAAGGTGAGCTTCCTAGCTGAATTCACAAGAGCACTTGCTAGCTGGCCAAGTGATTCCTTTCCAGGAGAAGAAAACACCCTATTTGCAGCTCTCTGGGCCACATCTCCCCAGGCGCACCCATTCTCTGCTAAGAGCCACCTCTGCTATATCCTGTGCTCCTGACAAGCAGGCATCAGGTCCCAGGACTTCTGGACACATCCTCGGCACTCAGGTGGTCCCGCTACTCACGCACAGCAGTCCGATGCATCACGCATGCCACGAGGACCAGCTTCAGCCATGCTTTTGGTAAATGCATCCTCGTGGGGTGCTCTGCTCCCACAGTTAGCTGCTCCAGACAGCAAGAAAAGGCAACGGCCAGCGTGATGGGTGACCTTGCCCTGGGGGCTGCTCTAAGTTATGCCTGAGGCCACGCTGGCCCAGGCAGCCTAGGACTGGGAAAGCACAAAAGTGTCTGCCAGGACCTTTCTCCAGTCCCCCTGGGGTGCTGGATCCAGCACGGTTCAGCTGGACCCTGGGACTGGGCCCAGTATTAACTAGGCTGGAAACCAGTCTGTTCCATCATCATGTGCGGCAGCAGCCAGCTCATCCTCGCCTGCGGAGGAGCTTAATTACAAGGGCATCTAAAACCCAAGTCTGACTCAAAGGAGCCTAAGCCAATCCTATGCTAAAAATAACATGAGATAATGGGGCTCAGTGCAATGCTAGTTGCTTTCCCTGTCCCCGGGGATTGCCAACGGGGACTCCCAGAGCTCGTCCACACCGCCAAGGGGGAGCTGCTCGAGGGTGCTTGGGTGGAGATGCTCCCAGAGCTCCCTTAAATCACATTGCCGTGCACACAAAGAGCCTGTGCACATCCGCGTGCGTGCAGCTCAGCTGGGACTAGCAGTAAAAAGCCATTCTCTTGAGTGGCAATGAACGTTACCGGCCGTGACACGTGTTGCTCCGTCTCCACTGAAAACCACCTCCTGGGGTTGCGAACGGGGCTCTGATTTAGGAGCCCGGCTCATCTGCTCCCAAGGGCTGAGCTGCTGAAAGCTGAGCCGCCCCACCTCGGGCCCACGTAACCTTCCTCCTGAAACCCAGGCCTGCATCAAGGCAGAGTTGGCCCGAGCGGGTGTTGAGATGTGAACCACGCTCAGGCCAAGGGCAGGGCAGGGGGATGGGTCCAGTTTGAAGGCTGGTCCCTTAAGATGCTGGCATTGAGAAATCCCCCAGCCTTTCCAGAGCTGCAGGATACGGCCCAGATGGAAATTGCACTTGGATCCAACAGTGAGGGGTCAATCAGTCCAAATCTGCCTCCCCCCATCTCCTCCACATGCAGATGGAAGTGGCGGGCCGGATTCCGGGGTGATTTCTGGGCTTATCTCTGTTTAAAATATCCCTCGCCATATAGAGACAATGACTCCTCTCCTTGGGCATGTGGAAACGGCTTGATTGAAGCCAGATGTCCGAGAGAAATGAGAAGAACAAGGAGGATCCAGTAAGTCTTTTTTTTTTTTTTTTTTGCCTATAGGAAATTTATCAGCGTTTTTGGGAGCTTCCCTGCAATTTTAATTCCAAGGCCACATATGTATTTGGCTTGATGACTCTATAGGTTATAGGAAAAACATAAAGGAGTCATTCCCACAAATCACTCAGGCCATCTACAGACAGCAAAGGGAATTTTGCAAGGGAAGCAGCAAGCAAGCAAAAATCTCCAAAGCGTTCCTCGAAAGATGTGTGCATTCAAAGCACCAGAACGATACGTTCAACCAGGTCTTTTCTTTCCAACAGTCCCCTTGTCTTTGCAACAGTCGGCATGATCTTAGTGCGATCCTCCTTTGCGTTGGGTCACGTTGCATTTCACCGGTTTGCTTGATGTCTTGTGAAGAGCACCTGGCATTCGACAGCAGCTCGGTTTCTGTGCACCACGTCCCGGTGCCAAGTGAGCTGACTCTGAAGCATCCTCCGGCGCGCCAGCTTTTCCAGACTTCCCAGCTTTGGCAAGATGACGGACGAACAGAAATCTATCCTCGAGAAACAGAAATGCAAGGCTGGAGACGGGTGAAACGCTCCAGGTTCTCCACGCCAAGAAGTAGCGCTGACTGCTCCACTACCCTCCTGGATGCTGGACAGCAGATGTGAACAGGTGCGGAGAAAGGCAGGATGAAAAGCAACGTGGAGGAAGTGGAGCTTTTTAGGCAGCCGCTCCGTGAGTCACGCTGGAAACTTTCAGCCCCGGGGCATCCAGCGCCAAGTCTGCAGAGAGCTAAAGGTCCACATCACACCCGGGTCTGATTTAAGAGCTCAGCCTGCTCTCAGCTCCAGACAGCTGCAAGCATTTCAAGCTGTGTTGACTTTTTAATGCCAGAATCACCTTCCTTTCTTGGCCTGGTCCAAAGCCCAGCCAAGCTGAAGGATTGATGCCAGCTGACGGTGTGCACGTGGAGTCTGCCTGCAGCCTCAGCACAACGCACGGGCCCCGGGGTACGGACAGGCCACCGAATGATGGAGATACAGGGAACTGACTGTGCGGAAGCTGCTGGTGGTGACCGTCCACGTGTGCACATGGCTGCCCTAAAGTAAGGGGAAGCAAAAGCAGGGCAGCTTAGCTCTCCGTGAGTGTTTGTCTGTGCATGCCCTCACCTCACTTCTGCACCCGGGTGCAGAATCACGTCCCTCCTCCTCTGCGTCCTGGCACGGCATTTCCAAGGCCAGAGAAGCAGGAGCGTTGAGCGCTCAGACCATGTCCTGCAGGGACCTTTCTGCCCCGCAGGCCCCCAAGGGGGTGTGGGAATAGCTAGGTGAAGCCCCTCTCGCTAGCTGCCCAGCCTGGCAGGGCATGTGGGTCTCAGCTGGGGGGACAACGGGGGTGCTAGAGGCTTTAGTGATGCTATAGTAATATAATAATACTGCAGAGGCCTGTGTCCAATAGAAGACAGACATTAGTGGTGCACGCCCCATCCCCTCTCAGCATCCTCTAACCCCATTTCTCCCATCCCATTTCTCTAATGCTCCTGTCCTGGAACCACAGGAGCCAAGCACTGCCCAGCTGCTCCAAGGGAGCCTGGGAAGTCCTCTGAATGCATGCACCTAGGAGCAGAAGACCTCCTGGTCTAGCTCTCAGGTTCCCCCGTGCTGGGATGTGTCCAAGTTGCAGCCCAGAGGATCATGCGGGCTGAGACCTGCTTCACTGGTTCTCCATGGCAGCCTCTAGCATGCCTCTTTGGTTTCGACGGCACACGGGACAGTGGTGAGCATACCATCACCCGTGCTTGGGGAGATGGCAACAGGCCTCTCGGCCCAGCCTCGGGGAAGGAGGACGGACTTCCCACTAATGACCTGGGTCCACGGTGCAGCTCCTGGCTCTGCCACAGACTCCTGCTGCGAGCTGAGTCCTGTCCCTTGATGTCTCAACACTTCGTCAGGTTGGAAGGGACCTCGAGAGATCAACTAGTCCAACCGGGCATCGAACCTGTGACATTGGCTCACCGCTTCTTCTTTCTGGTTTATTTGGACAGTGAACACTAGCATTGCCCTTCCCTTCTCCACCCAGAGCCAGTCGCTTGAGAAAGAGAAGCCCACTGCTGAGGCTACATAATCATCCGCCCCTTTCATTTGGGGTTTGTTGGATAACGAGTTTGTAAATATGACAAGACGTCAGATAAACATCCCCGCCAAGCTCTGGGCTGACGGCCTCCCTGGCCCGATCCCTGCTAGTGCGAACCCCCGTGCAAACTGCTTCCTCCAGCTTATCCGGACTAGCTCCCTCCGGGGAGGTTCAGGTGCGGTCTCCAGGATGCCACGTACCGATCAGGTAACGGGTGAAGGCTAAACTCGACTCTGGGGAAAACTGATGCGGCTGCCCTGACTTTGCTGCGGCTGTGGCAGGGCTGGGTTGGGCCGCTAGATGCCCGATGAGGATGGCTTTCATTTTAAAGTGTATTTGTTGCATTCTTCACAGAATAGCGAGAGCTATTGAATGCTATAAAGAATGAAATGGAAACACAGGACTGTTTCTGGATACTTGATCTAGGCCTCGGAAGAATAGAGGGACCTGCGAGAACGTGAGCTCTCTTTTGATTCCAGTGCTACAGATCAGAAACAACTGGATACAGCACTACAAGAGCATTAATTCATGGACCAGGAAACAACCCACCACGCCTGCTTTCCATAGGATGGCTACCCCAAAAATATGCCAACAGGAGACGCACAAAGCTGCTCGCTTACTTCCACAATGTGTGATGAAAACCCAGTCTGGGACATCTCCAGTCCAAAGGAGATTTCATTCTTGTTGGTGCCTAAAATAAAAAAAAGAGGAGTTGAATGTAAAGATGCTGTCTGGGTAAGATGACCGGTTATCCGCAGGGACGAGATAAAACGAACTCCTGCCTTATGTGGGTCGTTTGCAAGGAATGGTTATCTCCTCCGCCGCGGTCTCTGGACTTAATTACACTCAAGTCAATTTATATGAGCCACGGATCAGACAAGTACACAGTGCAAATCCTGCCGCTGTAGAAATGACTCATTTTCTCACAGTCGTAAAAACCTGTAGCTTAGGATAATCCCACCATATATGGTAGAGTAGAGCAAAATATTCTGGGAAAAAACCTTTTTCACTAAAAAAAAATTTTTTTTAAAAAATCATCAAAAATTGTGGCTTGCTAATCCACGGGGAGGGGATCAAATTATTTTGGCCGGGAAGAGACAAAAATTTAAAGCGTCAAAATGTTCCTTCCCTTCTGCCCGATTTGAATGAAATATTTCGCCATTTTCTTTCCACCCAGCAATGTTTTGTTTTGAAATTAGCTTCATCCCATTCAAATAAAAGGTAAAAAAATATGGCAGAAAAGGAACTATTTGGCTTGACCTGAAATGAAATTATTTTTGGGAAAACAGAAACGGTTTAATTTCGGGTTGACCTGAAAAAACAAAATGCTTGGTTTGACAAAGAAACCAAGAGAGCAATGAGCCCAACCTTTCTGTAACGTCTGGCATTCGAGTGTCTCCCTTACGCAGGCAGGATTATGGTGATTTTGGGCTGCTTAGATCTTGCCACACAAGAATGGATTTCCATGGGGTTAATAAAGAAAAAAAGCACTAAATTGACTCGAAGGCTACGCCTAGATCAAATTTCAAAGGCCTTCGACACACCAGGGAAGCATTAGCATTCTTCACTTCAGGGACTTTTCCCATGGGAAACGTTAGGTGACCCTCACGTGGGGGTTGTTGCTGGTCCCTCTGCGTTGGACACGTGCAAAGTGTTCAGCAGCAGGGGTCTCCTATCCCACGTAATTAAAAAAAATGTAGCTCGTTAAGTTATGATTTAAGGGATTCCAGAACAAAGGACATTTTTCATGTTGGGAAAATGCCCAGCAGACTCCAGTCATGTTGGAAAATTGGATTAAATGGAGGGTTGTAATGGCCTGCTCCAAATAAAGGGCAGTTCTGTTTGGAAACCGAAGCTGATTTTTATGCCCCTTCTGGCAGCCGGTCGTAGCCTTTGTAGACACAAGCCCTCCCCTCGCTAGACTCAAGACACCCCTCAGAAAATGCTGACTTTTAGCTTTTGCTCGTTTTTTGACTGTGGAGGGAACTCAGAAAGCCCACGACCAGTCAGAGTGGTTTGGGCACTGGATTCCTGTCCAAAACCTCGGGATTTCTCTTGCAGGTATTTGCACACCTACGTGTGCTAACACTGAGCGGGTGCGAATCACCGCCCTATGGTGTGACCTGTAAGGCGAGCTGAAGGAAGAAGTGCCAGTTTGAGCAGGTAACGCAGATCACTCACCTTCCAAACTAAATATCCTTTCTCCCAGGGCATCCACGATATCCTTGAGCGCGGCTTCATCGGTGACGTTAAAGAAATGCTTGTCATCCGGGTCACTTGCTATAAATTTTATTTCGTTCAAAAACGTTTCCGGGTTGATTCCTCTTCTGTTGTAATAGCCCAGCACCTGCGTTGCAAACACAAGTCTCCGAGTCCTCCCGCGCATGTTTTACAAAACACTGCAAGCCAAACCGTCCCTGCCTGCCTTTTCCCGCCCTGTTGCAGGCTGGGTCCAGGACCTGAGCACTGCAATCATCCACATCCATGCCAGAGGTTTTCTTTACACCACCTGATGGCACCTTGGCTTTGGTGATCTCATTGATGACCCTGTATTATTACCCGTTTGCCCCCGGGAAAGCAGAGGCAGAGAGAGGGCAAGACAGCAAAGGCATCCTGACTCCTACCTACTCTTAACCGGAGGTCTTGTGTGAATCTAGTGGGAGTCAAAGGGCCTCATTTGTCTTCTTGCCTCTGCCATTGACTTGCTGCTAGGCTTTGGGCAAGCTAATTTCCCTCTCTGAGCTCAGGTTTTCTGCCGGTAAAGCAAGGGTGAGGACGCACCCCAGCTTTGGGAAGCACTCGGAGAGCTGCGACAAAAACCCCTCCGTAATAGTTCAGGATCCAGTGCAAAGGCGTCCCAGACACCTCCAGACCTTACAAATTACAATATCACCTTTGTTACTGCCGATAAGAAACTAAAAGCCCTGGCAGCTCTTTTGCAGGTGACTTTTGCTCAGAGTTAGGACAAGGTTGGGCTGTGCCAGTGCTCCTTCTGGGGCTTAAAGCTGGTGGTTTCTAGCTGAAGGGTCTTGTCCTTCCGCTCAGGATCAGTCCGGTGCCATATTCAGGGACCCCGGGTCACATTGGTATGGGCTGGGGTGGGGGGTTGCTTTCCTCTGTAGCAGTGGCCCTCTCCCTGGGATCTCTTGAGTGTATATAAAGAGCCTTTTAGAGCAGCGGGACATTGGCTGCCGCGGTCCCCCTCCTTTTCCTGTGACAGGTGTGGGTGTGATGACTTGTGTTGCGTCAGGGTTGACAGTAGTTTCACTCAGGTGATGGATTTGTCTGGGAGGGTTTGCACAGGCCTGATCCAGGGGCTGGACTAGATGGGACCTCTGGAGACGGGGCAGGGACTTACAGCCACAGCGTATCTGGTGACGTTGTCCCGCTCGCTGTCCTCGATCACCTTCTCCAGGTCCGGGCTGTCGTGGGACTCGCCATCGGTTATCACAATCATCACTTTCTTGGCTCCTTTCCGCCCGCCTTTCTGAAAGGCTTCTGAGCTGAAACGGCAGAAACACGGGGGCGTTCAAAACAGACAGCTGATGCTTAGCTTGCCCGAAGGGGAGCGCTGTGCTGAGACCCCCTCTGATCAGAGCCCCCCTGTATACGGACCCCCATCAGGGCACGTTTCACAAGCAGTCCTGAGCTCAGACCCCTCCGTGAAACGCTCCCCGTCGTGTCTGAGCTCCTCTTGTCTGAGTCAGGCCACAGCGCTCATCCCACCCGGACGGACCTGGATCCAAGTGCCTGAGTCACTGACCACAGACGGTTGTTTTAATGGGCTGCTGCTTCCTGTGTTACAAGGGCAACGTGCCAGGATGCAGGCTCTGCCGAGAGCTTTCTGCCCCAAACCAGGGGTCTTCTCCCCAAGCAGACCCGGTGGCCGTCCTGGCCTGGAGGACTGGTGCAGCTGACCAAGCACGGACCCAGCCCTTCATTAAAATGGGCCTGCCAATTAGGTCATGCATAACCAGTGCATGAAGGCTGAAGTTGTCTTAATTGCACGTGGCTAATTAGGCCACGAAGCAAGATGAACCATGATCTGCAGGTTGGTCTTGAGGCCGGTCTGCAGCAGAGTGGACGGGGCTGGGCTGGGCGAGCCGTGTCCCCGGCTTGACCCATATTCCAAAGGGGGAGATGTGGGGGACAAACAGACCTGATCCTGGCTCCACCCCACCCACGGCAGGGGTGTGGAAAGCCGGCTCCATCAGACAGCTGGGCATTTCCCTGCTCGGTGCCTCCTGACCACAGGCCCAGCATGGAGGTATGACAGAGATGGCCTGGGGGCAGGAAACCTGGACAGTGCACAGCTGGAAACCCCTGGCTAGAGGGAAAGCCCCCGGGGACCATCAGCAGCCTCAGGCAGCTGCAGGATGGCATGGGGGTGTCAAGGTGGGATCCCCTCGCCCTGAGCATCCCTGCAGCTGGGGAATGTGCCCAAAAGGTGAGGAGCTATCATTAAGGCCTTGTCTAGAAGGATCCCCTAGTGCAAGGGGCTGTCGTTTTTGTAACCGCACGTCTCGAAAGAAAGAACAAAAGGCCAGACTTGACCCTCGCAGACAGTTTAAATGCATCTCTCTGCTTTACCGAGCAAACTCGATGCCGTAGGCCGTCCTGGTCTCGGTGCCTCCTCGCTGCTCGATGTGGCTAGCGGCTTCCACCACGTCTTTGACGGATCTGTAGTCATTTAGGTGAAACTCGTGGACAACGTCTTCTCCATACTGGACAACGCCCACCTAGGAACGAAAGGAGCTTTACATAGGACCCGGACAGGTCACAGCATAGCAGTCGCCTGAGAACAAAAAGGGCGGTTTGACCAAGCAGGTGAAGTGTCAGCCCAAGTGCATTTGCTGCCTGCTGCATGATTTACTAGCAATGGGGGGGTTGGAGGAAGGGTGGGAAGGAACAAGGACATCTGCAAGGGAAGCAGGTCTTTCTCTACCTGCGCTGCGCTGGGCTCCAAGTAAAATCCCTAGCAGGCATGTTCCTACTGCGAAGATGACAGGATAGCTTCCGTTAGTGACCTGCACACATTAAAATGCATGAGGGCACTTGGCAATTTGCATATGTTTAAAGGAGTGGAATTAAACAGCTTCTTGTGGTGGCAAAGCTGAGGCTTCTTGTAGTCCCGGGCCCAGAAGAACATGCTGCAACTCCGTGCAGGGAAAACCCCCGTGCCAAGTGGGTTCGGAGGGCAGGGGACAGAGAAGAGCAGCAGGAAAAGGAGGAGGCCTCGCGGTGCAGAGACAGCAGGGACAAGGGAACCCAAAAGAGGGCTTGCAATAGTATTTCTGCCAATGCTTGAGTGGAAGGTAACGATCCACTAAAAATGTGCAATGATGGAGCGGGTCACAAGCTAGGTCTGCTCTGAGCTGGAAGACCTGGCAAAACAGCAGCTGGGAGTTGGATACCAAAATCTGTCCCTTCAGAGGGCATCCTCTAGACGCCTCTTGCATGCAACGTGCAGGGAAGGCGCTGCATATACGTGCATTCATGAGGGTCCTTTGCTGCACGCAGTTGCAATGAAATATGGCCAAGTCCTCACCACCTCTGCCTGCCTTTTCCCCCAATGGCCGGTGACAACACGAACCCAGCATTGATCCTACGCTACCCACGCCCAGCCCTCAGCAGTGGCAGCTCATAGCAAAGGACGAGGGCAGGTCCGGGTTTGGCTGAGAGCTGAGATGCGCGGGCCATGCTAATGACCACACTTACGAGCACCTGCAGGGTTCAGCGGTTTCACTGGTCCCAGATAGAAGCCCCTTCTGTCCCCTTCTCCCCTGCTTTTCCTGCCATCTCAGTCATGCACTTGGGCACAAACCATGCACTTGGGCTCTTGCAAGGCCCAAGGGAGCTGATAAGAAAATGAGGAATTGCTCTTCTCTGCTGCAAAAAATACATCTCCAGAGAGCAGGACTTCTTAAATGCCGCAAGACTGAACTCTCCATCCTCCGCCCTCGCCTGCTCTCAGCGTGTGGGTTGCTCCTTTCTCCATTGCTCATTTAAGAGCATTAATGGGAACATTATTTCCATAGGTTTGGCTTTAACATCTATACACTGAAGGTTTGTTTTGATAAAGCACTTTGCCAAACTACAGTACTCTGGCAAAAGAAGGGCCCCTGCTCCTCATCAATAGGCCAGGGAAACGTGTATCATGTGGAACAACATACATGCACATGCACCGGCTCGTCACAGAGGTGCTTACTTGTATCTGTCCAGGGCCAATGTAGAACTTTTTCAAGATGTTTATCAGGAAATGCTGGACTTCAACCCAAGGATATATGCTGTTTGATCCATCCAGAACGATGATTATGTCCATGTACGTTTGGCACCCTGTGAAAAATATCCAGAAAGACCTTGGCAACCATTGTTAAGTTGAAATTTATGGCTATATTCCTGGCAGTCAGAGACTTACTCATGCTGCTTGTTTGAAAAGTCTTATTTCAGTTAAAGACCTTCAGGTTGGATTCACTTAAGCATGATAGAGGGCGTGCACCCCCATTCATTATCAGCTTGACCAGGACAAAAGGCTGAGGAACTTTTGGAGAATGAAACTCAGCAGCCTCAGCTTTCTGCTTCAAATCTGGTTGCATATATAACTTCAGAGCAACTGAGCCATTGAGGCCAGATTTTTGGTATCATTACTCAACACTTTGCTCTTGATTTGAGTGAAGCAATTCATAGACGCTCAGTTCAGTGAAATGCTTAAGCAGATGCTTAATTTCAGTGTGCCCAAATGCCTCCCTGAAGTCCCTGGCAGAGGGAGGTGGTGCTCACCCGGCAAGCACGGCAGCATCTGAGCCTTGGAAGCTCCTGGGGGCAAAGACCTTGTGTTCCTCTGCATTTAATGCTTTACTCAGCCTATTGACAGAGCTCAGTTCATAGATTCAGAGATGTTTGGGTCGGAAAGGACCTCAGTAGACCACAGAATCGGCCTCCTGCCCTGGGTAGGAAAGGGCGCTGGGGTCAGATGATCCCAGCCAGGTGCTTGTCCAGGCTCCTCTTGAAGACCCCTGGGGTAGGGGACAGCACCACTTCCCTTGGAGCCCCTTCCAGATTCTGGCCACCCTTACCATAAAGAAGTTAACAATACAAGGTTGGTATTTCCTTAGGACAGACTCCCACTGAAGCCTCAATAAAGGCTGAGACTAATATATATATATTATACACACACACACTTCTCCAACCATATATATATCCTTATATATATATATATATATATATATATGGTTGGGGGGAATTTATACACATACACACATATATACATAGATAGATAGATAGATAGATAGACAGACAGACAGATAGATTGATAGATCAATAGATAGATCGATAGATATAGCTATAGACATAGATATAATTGGAGATATATGTGTATGTATGTAGATATAGATCTATCTATTGATCTCTCTATTGATCTATCTATCTATATTTGAAGGATTTAGAAAATGGCTTGTTTCAAAGATGAAATGGGACAGGTTAGTGCGGTATAGCTTTCTTTTGTGCCTTCCTATTCTGCAGTGTGGTTTGGATTACTGGTTGGAGGGGCAGAAGTAGGGGGGTCCTACCATGGACCATGTCACATTTATTGGTTATGTGATACTATCCAAAGGACCCAACAAACTCAGAAATCATGGGCAGTGAGCTTGAGCAGTCTCTCATTAGATGCTTTGAATGGGAGGATACCCTTTCTTTCGTTTCATGCTGTACCATAAAATGATGCTGGGTAACCGTTCTGCCAAGGTATTGGTGAATTTACAGCTCTCAAGAAGGTTGCTGCAGCAATCTTGGATGGACAAAAATTTGCAATGGCATCAGGACAGCAATGGGAGACCTCCACCCCACTGTCTACAGAGTTATATTGTGATGGGAAGTCAAAATAGACAAATTGCTAATGGGCTTTTCATGTTTTCCTCCCTGTCACCCCAAAATGGAGGTTTCTATAGAATGAGACCCATCATCTATAGATCTAGATACTGAATTAAGTGGCTTGATCCTTCGCAGGTGCTAAAGGCACAGATTTCTCACAATAATCACGATGGATTCAAAGCACATAAGACAATCAGACTACTGATTCAATGCCTAAATACAGGATCAGAGATCTAATTTTAGGAACCTAGGTCTGAAAACGCTGGCCAAAATTTTTCAGGTTTAGGAATTCACTTTGTTTTGAGTGGCCAATGCCTGCATTCCTTCCTTATTTTGCCTTCCTCCTATGCTGGATACTTTTATTTCTGTTTTTTTGGAAGAATGAAGTATTTTGTCTTCCCAACGTGTCACTCAGAAGGAAAATGTGTACCAGATGTCTGTGCGTCTATCCCCCTTTGAACCACTTTTCTGGAATAATTTCCTTTGCTATCTCACCGCCTCCTAAAAATACTGACATGGCTTTGTTTTCTCAATGGTATGTGAAGCGATTAAAGAACAAAAAATCTATTTAACTTCAAAAGCAGGGTTTGACTTAGAGGCTACATAACAGATCGCGTCTCGTACTCTGGAGAGCGGGAGCGACGGTCTTGGAGAATCTGAAGTTGGAGTTCACCCTGGAGCACATTCCTGTGGTGTAGTAAGAGCTTCCACACTCGTGGGACCAGAGAGGGCTGCACGCCTACAAAGAAATCAGGAAAAACAAAGCATCAGAGAGGGATTTAAATCTGTCCCTTTGGAGACCATTGCCTTGCAGGCTAGAAAGACCAAGGAGGAATGAGTGCAGTCCCTATATGCTTGACTCGGGAGCTATTCTGGCCAAGCACCTCTGGCGGATTGTAGACAAGGAGGGCTGGAAGGGACCTCAGGAGGTCACATCTAGTCCAACCCAGTGTCAAAGCAGGACCAGCCCCAACTACATCATCCCAGACAAGGCTTTGTCTAGATGGGGCTTAAAAACCTCCAAGGATGGAGACTTCCCCACCTCTCTGGGTAACCCATTCCAGTGCTTTGCTATCCTCCTCATGAGAAAGTTTTTCCTATACTATCTCCGTCTATGCAGAAAAGCACGCCCCAAATCATGCCGTGGTGAGACTGCATCTGCTGAGGATTAGGTGGGTAAGCAGAGGCATTTGCTGGGGCTGGTCCAGGCCTGGAAGATGGTGCAGAAAGTAAAAATGAGGGGGGGATGACCTCAGTGAGGAAGAAACCAGGATTTTCCTGTTTCCTAGATGCTTGTGGGTTGACCAAGCCCTTGGTTCAATTTTAGATGTCACCGTACCCTTCCTCAGGCCTGAGGAAGGGTATGGTAACACCCAAAAGCTTGCCTGTGTCCATCCCAATGATGCAGTTGGCCCAATAAAAGATATTGCCCACAAGAATTCATGCCTCTAGCATATTTCCTGGACCATCTCCTCAGCCCTACTGAGTAAGGAGGTGATCCCCAGTCTCTTTTCCAAATGCAAAATCCTGGGAGGGTGGATCAGTTGTGGGGTCCACCCAGGCAGGTGCAACTTTCTTGCCTGTGGCAAGGGGTCAGAGCTGGAATACCCTAGTATCCTGCCCCAATATTTTACACTGTAGAGCAGCTTCCTTCCAGGCTTCAGCCGGGGCTTAGAAAAATTCTCATCCTGTCACATAAAGATCTAGATTTGTATGCATTGGCAGGCACAGCAGACAGGGCCAAGATAGCAGCCTGCCAAGAGACAGCAGCGGTGGTATCAGAATGGCAGGAATGCGGGGACCCGATCTCCACGCTCCATTTCTCACGAACCCGTGACAGCATTTAGCACTAGGGACATGCAACTGCTTAGGACTGACTACCCCCAACCCATCGTCCTGCTGGCACAACGCACGCTGGGATGGGTGAGCCGCTCAGGCAGTTGCACCCTACCGCTTTTCTGTGAAAGAGAAAGGGGGGCTGAATTTTCACCCATCTGCAAGCTGTTTGTTCACTAGCTGCACTCAGAAAAGTGCCTGTAGGAGTTTGGTTGTGCTTGGCCATAGTCATGCTAAGGCAGAGTAAGCTACGGTGCCGAAAAGCAGTATGGGAGAAAGAGGCCTCCAGACTGTTGGATGACCCAGTAAGAAAGAATACATATAAATGCACTAACGAGCAAAAGGACATTGCAGGGAGGATGAAAACAGCAGCTACCAACATAAAAGTTTGACCTTACTAATGAAAGTGCAGGTGCTTGGACTTGGGAAACAGAACAAAGGAAAATGAATGACTTGACAGAGACATAAGAGTGGGCACAAGATGGGGGGAAGCATGCAAGTATAAATATAGGAGTTGGAAGACCTGTCTCTTGTAGAGGAGCATGAATAATGCATGGTGTCTCTAGCTGTCAAGGGCAAGCTTCACTAAGCTGGGCAGACCAATTACTGTGCTGCCCAACAAGAAGCAACCTACCTGAGCTTTGCTACTGAACATGTTATTTAATTTAATGAGGATTAAACCCCGTGACGTGTACAGGCGCCCATATTTCAGTTGCATTTCCTGCATTGCCCTCAGGTTGTGGAACGTGGCTTGTTAGTGCCGGCCTCCCAAAACATACAGACTTCAGCAGTCTGTGTATCAAAAGCAACAGCAACAAGATATCATCCGAGAAAACACTTTGCACATCTCAGAACAACACGGGAGTGCCAGCATGTGCTGTTGCATGCTTCCTGGTTTGCACATGCAGTCTCACATGTGTCAGGTGGGTTTCCAGCCACTTCATTGAATCATGGAGAAGTCGGGTTGGAAGGGACCTCCAGAGATTGTCTAATAGTGCTGTGCGAAATTTCGCCACCAGTTTTGTTTTGATGATGTTTCGACCTGCTTTGAGGCCAAAACAGCAAAATCAAAATGAAACAGATATGGTTGAAACAGCCTCGAAATGAAATGAGGCAAGTCGAAACGTTTCGCCGTTTCTACGCTGTTTTGATGTTTCGCCCATACACTATAATGGGGAAGGACAAAACAACTGATAACTTTTGTTATTTCTGGCCACATCTGGCTAAAACTTGCCGAAATAGTAGCACCTTCTGAGGGAATAAAGTGTGCCAAGTTTCAAGAAGATAGGTGCAGGGGGTTAGGAGAACCCACACTTCAAAATCTTGAGAGCCAAACTTGTGTCATGTGTATGTGTTAAGCCACAGGGGGTGAAAACTGCAGGGGTGGTGACCCCTGCTGAGGCCACAGAGCCTGCCAAGTTTCAAGGAGAGCTTTAGCTGCAGTTCCCCCCAAAGCCCTGCACTTATCTCCTTGAAACTTGGCAGGCTTTGTGGCCTCACCAGGGGCCACCACCCCTGCAGTTTTCACCCCCTGTGGTGTAACACACATACGTGACATGAGTTTGCTTTCAAGAATTTGGGGTGCAGTTTCTCTGAACCCCCTGCACCTATCTTCCTGAAACTTGGCAGGCTTTGTGGCCTCAGTAGGGGCTACCATCCCTGCAGTATTGAACCCGGCTTAACACATCCACGTGACATGAATTTTGCTTTCAAGATTTTGGGGTCCTGTTTTCCCAAACTCCCTACACCTATCTTCTTGAAACTTAGCAGGCTTTGTGGCTCATCAGGGCCTAGTGACCCTGCAGTTTTGACCTCACTGTGGCTTAATACATACACGTGACATGAGTTTTGCTCTCAAGATTTTGGGGTGCATTTTCTCTGAACCCCCTACACCTATCTTCTTAAAATGTGGCATGCATCACAATCTCAGAAGGGGCTACCATTTCTGCAAGTTTCATCCAAATCTGTCAGAAATGACAAAGTTATAGGCTGTTTTGACCTTCCCCATTATATCCTACGGGCGAAATGGCGAAACAGGGTCGAAATGGGAAAACGTTTTGACAGAACGAAATGAAACAGCTGTTTCAACTTGGAACAGAAGTCAAAATGAAACACTGTTCTGTTGAAATGTTGCAACGCTGGTCAAAATGGCATGCTTCCTCTTCACGCAGCCCTACCGGGTACGGCTATGCCCCCACCTGAGGCAGGACCACCCCATTGAAAGGTGATTCATTGTTCGGAGTGCCATGTCTTGCCCAGATGAAACCCAGCATGCAGAGGCCTGTGGCTGAAAGTCTGGCTCATGGTGCCAGCAGAATGTGCATTTGAAAGATTAATGGGTTTCAAAAACATGGTCTGGAGACTCTGCCACCTTGGAAAGAGTTTGATGACAGAGACCTTGCACCTATGGAGACTCACGCCCACCCTCAGAGCTGAATAAACCATGCGCGTGGTTTCTTTTATGAATTAAACAGACAGGGCAATAGCCAGAGGGCTGTCATTGCTGAGATCTTGGGGAGAGATTCAATATACGACCCCCCCCCCCCAAG